AGTGGTTATAGCATGTAAAATTTGGGTTCAATCTTCTGATAGTGATGGAGATATCAGAATCCCCTAAGCTTAGTCTCATAGGGATGGAGCTATCTTTGCTTTTTTTTTTTGAGGCTTGGGTATGTGTGCAGGACCCTTCAAGTTCACCCTAGAAGTGGGGCTGGGAAAGGGAAGCTCACTTTTCCCAGCACTGCTCAGAAAAAGTGGTTTTGACACCTCTGTTACTTGGCAATGACAGGAAGAAGCTCCAAGCCAACAGATGATCCGAGGCTGATGCTAGTCTGAGCAAGAAGGAGCATCACCATCTGGAAAAGCTTGGGACAGTGACAACAGGCAGGATTACACTTTTTACCAAAGACAGAAGCAGTAGCAGCCTGGCCAGGACCGGGCTCACACCCTAAGCTGGGCTGACTCCCAGCATCCAATTTTGTCTAATCCCTAAATGCTACCAAAACATCCTATTTTCTTCTCATGACGTGACTGTAAAGAATGTGAAATAAATGCTGTATTTTCATATTTTTCTTGTTACTGCAAAAATGACAAGAACAAAGCAAAGTCGTTGTTTCCTCCGTATCCGGGGGTTTTGCCGTCCCGGGGTGCCGGAAAACCCGGGGGGGCTTGGAGCGCCGTGCCCACACGCCTCTCGCCAGCTCTCCCAGTGCGGGCGGAGGCGCCAGATTTAAGAGTAAAAAGGCGCCGTAAGCAGGAGAGAAGCGAGCGCAGGGTGGAGGCGAGACCGGAGGGCACAGGAGCCGGCCGGGGTGCGAGCTGCCCGGGGCTTCCCAGCCTCATTCTCCCCGGCGCTGGTGTCAGGTATTGCGAGGAGGGGTAGGGGCCCGGGAAGGAGATGGCTGGAGGCTTTCCAGCCCCGGCTCACGCAATGCTAACTCCGCACGCAACTGGGAGGCGACAGGCGGAGGAGGGGAAGCTCTTCGGCTTCCTCAGCCCCTAAGATGCAGGCGAGACTTCGCCTCCCGACAGCGAGAGCTGCGAGCCCGCCCGCCACCCCTCTCCCCTCCCGGCACCTCCTCCGCTAAAACTTTTGGCCCCGGCCATAAAAGCGTCCGCGGCTCAGCCGCTCCGCTTAGCGAGGGCCCAAGGGCAGCTGGCAAATAACCGCGACCCCTGAAGCCAGAGGACGGGCCAGGCAGCGGCGATTTGCCAGCGGGGCCGTCCGCGTCCCGCCCGCAGCGCGCCGCGCACCGCGGATGCCGGCGGGTTTAAAGGCGGGAGTGGCGATGCCAGGCGCCCAGCGGTGGCGGCTCCGGTTCCGGCTGAGCCTGGGAGCAGCGGGCCGTCCTCTCCGCGCCCTCTGAGCCGCTCGCCTTCGCTCCCTGCGGCGGGCTGGGCTGGCCCCGTCCCGTCCCGTCCCCGCAGCCCAGCAGGCCGGTGGGAGGGAGAGAGAGAGGGAGGGAGGGGGCGCAGCAGCCCGCTCACTCCCGGTCCGAGGAGCTGATCGGGGCAGGTGGCTGCCTTGGGGCGAGCTCCGAAGGGTTAAAGAGCTGGGAAGGTGATAACTGCGCCGGGATCGGGCGCAATTGGCATTTGCCTGCACATGACCTGCCAAGCTCCGGGTGACAGGTACCGGGGCTCCTAATGAGTTTCCCAAAGGCTTGGATCTGAACGCCGCCGTCGCCACTCTCCTCGGAGCCGCGGCTGTCCATTAGAGCTGCCGCCGGCTGCACAGCTCCTCTCCATCCTCCTCAAGGTCTCGGATGGAAGCAGCGTGCAACAGGTCAGTTCTGCTACAGGAGCCCGCCGCTTATTTCACCCCTTCATCCTCTCGCTGCTTCTGCAAGGCTGGAGCGGGTGGTCCCCGGGATGGGAAGCGGGACCAGTCAGCGCTGCCACGCAGAGCCCTCAGGCATCCCCCGCATCCCGTCCCCGTGACCCGTGCCGCGGCGGGCCCGAAGGTGCGGGGAGGAGGGAAGGGCTCGGGACGGAGAGGGCTCCGCGGCCGCGTGCGGGGGTTTCTCCGGAGCAGCGGGAAATGCCGACAGTGGGGCGGGTAACCCGCTTCTCGCAGGGGCTTTTTCGCCGGGGGAGCGATGTGCAGCGCCGAAATTAACTTTTCTCCGACGCACGGCAATTGCCTGCATCTGCGGAGGCTCGACAGGCGAGAGCATCCTCCTGCTTTCCTCTGTGCCTCTCTCAGCTGCGACCTGTTGGATCTCTCGCTGAGGACTTTCCCTGTCGGCGGTGAGAGGGCAGCGGCCTCACCGCCAAATACGACTTCGATCTCTTATTAGGAGCTTGCCACTTGATTATCGATTATCCTTTGGTTTTCGCACAGGATTCAGGGGGGCTTTAGGCACACAAAGCGAGCATAGCAAGGACTTGCGCGGACTCCGAGCGCTGGGAGGTGCCGGGGCTCC